ATATATTATTATATATTATTATACATACATGTATATCAAAATTATATACGTAGACATAGGGGAGCGTACTTCTATACGATTTCTTTGTGAAGAACCTGCGTTTTGTATGTGGGTGTTCTTGTCATCGTGAGGACTCTGGATAGATTTCCAATTTGGGGTTTAGTCATGATTACCTCGTCATTAGTTCCACAGTTTGATTTGGACACCGACTCGAGGTGTCTATGTGTAGCGCAAAGTTGCATACGGACTCATAGCCGCAAAGCACTCGAGTGAATACTACGCGCATATAGGATTACATGGAGCTATGTGCGTACTGATGCCTGCGCTCTAGCAGGACGCATGCTAGTACGGACATGTCCATTGCTACATACAGGATCCTTGTATTGTCTGCGAAATTTGAATCACGGGCAGGCTTCATGATCATACCGTCTCTAGAGATGCTTGCTTATAGTACAATGGCCTGACAATGTATCACTGTTATTGTTATCCAGCCAATCGAGTGCTCGCGGGATATAGATGCACTGCCCTTCCAGCCACAAGAGTCCGGAGAGGAAAAGCAATACGCCAAAGAGGAATACACAAATCTCCTACTACACTCCAAAATATACGGCTACTCCATTCTGACCTGTTTTGATGGTATGTTTTTTATAACCTGTGTTATGCAGAAAATGTACTAACTCCTTGAGAAACTGGATGTTCCACCGAAATGCGGGAAGTCTCCAAGAATGTATCTCAACGAATGGGGGTCCGTGGTATTTGATTCAAGTCTCGTCGAGCGATTGTACCATCATACCGCACCTGATCACACCCTTGTATACGTGTTTACGAGTCCTAACGGGGTGTGTATATGTCATGCACTTTCGGGCATGCGTTCTGTGCAGCGACCATAGGAAAATATCTCTCTCTCATCTCTTGGAATTGGAATGTTGTTGTCATAGTCAACAGCGATTGGCGGATTTGAGTAAACAAATTGAATAATAATCGACACTTGTGCACTATTTGAACCGTTTTTCAACCGTGCCGTTTGCAGGGTTCTACGTCAAGGGGCTGAATGACACGCCATCATGGGTCGCTGTTGAGGGTGTGGTATCCGCATCACTCAACAGCGATGAACTGAGATTTGCTATAGCTACGATCGATTCCGTCTCTATCTATGATATTAGAAATTTAGAAGATTATGATGAAGTATGTTGCCCTTTTTGCTTTCTCTGTACGATGATGTTCCAGCCGTATATCAAATGATGAGTATTAAAATGCGCAAGTCAGTACAGTATATACATCGAACAGTCTGTGCGAGTCTGTGCGGGCCAGCTAATGAACGATAGTGCTACACGCGATTTGGTTTAATTTATCGGCCAAAAATCTTAAGAGATGGTGATGCATGCATGCTATTGGTGGGTTTAGGATTTAGGGTTTGGAGATGGTGGTGCATGCATGCTATTGGTGCACTGTCCGGGAGGTTCAAATCAGTCATTGTTAAACTACTAATCTACTCTACTATAATCAGCTCGGATGTCAAGAGGACGAAGAACTCAAATCCATCGAGTTTCACCCTAAAAATCCCGATCTGCTATTGGTGGCTTGGTGGCGTGGTTGGGTTGAGATATGGAATATCACGGTTAGCATCAGAGAACCACTCTTCTCCACTGGAGACACAGGTAGAGTCGTTTAATGTATAGCAGGATGTATTGTCTACGTCGAGTTTGATTTGGCCAGTGCCTCGAAGTTTACAAAAACCTGATTTAATATATATACTTCAGACTGCATTATTCAAATGGCGAACACCAAACCAATGCGCTTTAAGCAAACTTTCAGGGTTGAAGAAATCAGTTAGGAGTCGGTCTGATTTTGTCATTGGTATCTTTGCTGATATTTCAAAGCGACTTTACAACGACTTGCATAGTATTGCCCAGTACAAAACTTGTCTGGATAATCATGTCGTTCTAACTGACGACGTTTTATTTTTGCGACACTCGTTATACTACTGCAGTTGTCACTGCGGCCGGGTGGTCGTTCGATGGTACGGAAGTTTTGATAGGGAACGAGAAAGGCGGTGTCTCAATGTATAGCTCAGACTTACAACTCAAGTGGTCTGTGGAAAGTTTGATCGATGAGAATGAACTGGAGGAGGATCTGCGGTTGCCACGTGTACTAGTTTGTATCGTTGCCGTCCAGGCGGGTAGCTACGCGGTGTCGTTTGACACTGTCGAAGGTGACGACGATGCTGTGTTTTGTGGGATCTACGACGCGGATGCTAGTGTGATGTATTGCAACAACGATACATTTTGCCAAGAAGTGGACAAAACAAACAATATAATTATAACCAGCATACCTGAATGGAATATCGTGGTTATGAGCGCGTGCAATGACAGGTCGCTTGCGTACTGGTTCAAAAATACTGAAAACAGATGGGAGCTGATCATCTTTGAAGAGACGGGCCGACCACAAGCGGCACTTTCGGAAATTGAAGAGGACGAGGACACTTACGTCATGGGGTTGGCGGTGGATTACAGCAGCACAGAGTCTGTACTTCTCAGGGGCCAGGATGATCCCATACCTCCTCAGCCACATCTGCTGGTGTATTCCTCCGACTGTGTGCTCACGTCATGGACAATAGCGAACACGCAATCCGATACCCAGCACCCCTTCATGAAAGCCCACAAGCAGCTTCCGTCGCTGGACGTACTCCCACTTCTACTCAATTTGGGTAAGTGCAAGACAGCTAATTTATCAGTAGTGATTGTGTGCGAATCCTGAAGCACCTCGTATTGGTAAAACTATAATCGAATGTACGCCATCCCTCGTATCCCTGCAATTTTAATGATTTCGTGTTCATTCTCCAAATGTAGTATTGTTTGCTGTATGCGAATTGCGTTTGTTTCGGCGATACTATAACACATCCCTATCGTTTTCGCACGATTCTGATCTAAATTTCAAATCGGGGTTTCTATTGTTTGCCAGATGATGAAGAGCCCCCCAGGGCTGTGTCAATCAGAGACGAGGCACAGTCATCAGCAGAGGACACGGATACATATGACGGAAGTGATCAAAAATCCGTCGCCGGGACAGGTTTTGGGAAAAAGAAACCAGAATTTTCCAATTTGAAACATGACGAATCCACCAAAGCAGCAGTCAATCAATTATTCGGAGCCACATCGCAGAGCTTCAGTTTTGCTACCGCCGATACAATTGAAAAAGCGAACAAAGGTCCGTCACCTTTCGGTGGCCTACAGTCAGCTTTTGGGACAGGGACTACGGCATTCGGTGGTACACCCAATGCGTTTGGAACACAGGCCACCAGTCAAGCAACCGCATTCGGGGGTCAGTCAAACGCTTTCAGCCAAGCTAATCCTTTTAGCCACGGGTCTGCCGCAACAGGTGAGCCAGTGAAAGGTGCCTTTGGAGCTTCAAAGACCGCGTTTGGAGCCACGTCCACTGCATCTGGCGGTGAAACAAGCGCTTTTGGCGCCCCAAAATCCGCCATGGGCAACAAGTCTGCTGCATCTGGGCCACCGGTTGGCAGTCAGCCCACACGGTTTAGCCAAGCCAGCGCTTTTGGAAACAAAACTACCACTTCTAATGGTCAAGCCACGGCATTCGGGCAGTCTACCGGCGGACAGGCGCACCCCTTTGGTGGGTTCGGTACGGGACTGTCAAGCACTCTATTCGGTCAGATATCACAGGGGACTGAACCCAGCAATCAAACAATTACACTCGACACTGAGAAAACTTCATTCGGCGATACGAAGAGTAAGACCGGGGGTGCAGGTATTTTCGATGGGACGAAGGCTGCTGAAAAATTCGCCGCACCTGCCGACGATGATCCCGGAAGTGAGGCGCCACATTTGGATGATTCGGAGTCAGGGTATGAAGATTCTCACAGCGATCCCGCAGAACGCGACGGGGAGTATGAGGAGGATGATAGAGATGGAAGCGTTAGCGCGAATGGCGATGGCGAAGCTGAAGCTAAATATCAAGCCTCACAAGGAAGCACAAATCAAAGCGCTGCTGGCGGGTTCGGAGGGTTTAATCAGTCGTCGATGGATACCAACAAGTCAGCATTTAGTCCGTTGCCCAATGTATTTAGTCAGGGTTCTTCTCCTTTTGGTGTCAAAAGTGAGGCCACCGAGCCTGCCAAGACCACTTTCTTTGCTCAGCCCTCGTCGGCATCTGGCATTCAGACGGAGTCCTCGAAGGTAGCCCCAAAAGGCTTGTTCGCTTCATCGGCGTTTGGAGCCAAGAATGAGGGCCCATTGGCAACTCAAACATCTATCGTCAGTCAGAAACCATCAGCATTTGGAAGCATCAGTGCGACCACGGAGCAGACGGCGAAAGGGTTGTTTGGTCAGAAACCAACGGCATCTGGATTTAAAAGCGAGGCCACAAAAGAGTCTCCGAAAAGTTTGTATGATCCTAAAACTTCGGCATTTGGAGTCATAAGTGAGACAACGCGGGAGGCCCAGAAATTAGGAGCTGGTCCAATTCCATCGGCTTTCGGCATCCAGAATCAGCGGCCGGTACTTGGTAAATCTATTGGTGCCACGGATGAAGCCCAAAATACGTCATCGGGTCAGAAGCAGTCGGCATTTAGACTCATAAATAATGAAGCCAAGAAGCCATCATCTAGTCCACAACCTATACAATCTACTAACACGCGTGCGTCAAATTCGGATAACGCGATATCGGCGTTCGATGTATTTCCCCCGTTGAAAGAGGGCCAATACAAGGCTGGTGAGAGTTCAACTTCTACTGCGACTGGCAATACGGATGCCGCACAAGGCATCGTCAGCGACCCAAGGAAGGCTTCAACAGATGGAGATGGCGAATCTCAGACGAAGGGTGCGGAGGTGAGCAGTATCCTGCGGCTAATTCACTTGCAGTTCTTTATTTAAGTTGTCTGCACTGGTATATACCGTGTGCCCATGCAGTTCTGAAGCTTTATGCTTTTGTATCACTCAGGTACCATCTCACGAGCAACAGGAGCAGCAACCTCAACAGATTCCGAGCAAACCATTACTACCACCCCAGCCTGTCAAGCTGCCCACAGAGTAAGCTGTTTTCTCGATTCCCTAGTTCGTATTCGAAAGGATTGTTATCGGGCTGTCCCGTGTTGCATTTGTCTTCGTTGCGATTTTGAACTTGGACTTACCTTGTTACTCTTTTCTGGCTGTTTTCTGCAGTGCCACATCTAGCAAGAGTTCAGGATCTTCAACGCCACTACTGTCAACAACAGACCTGCTGAATGAGCTGGTATCGCGATTCGAAACCGAAGATTTGGCCATTCTGGCAAAGCTGTCAAACAGCATTCGAGGTAGGCTCACAGGTTTTCTCATTTTGTGGCGTTCTTCTGTGGGTGTGTGACGCGGCGATAGGTTACTTCACAGATGACAAATCCTACAATTTCGAAGCAATTTTATTTTGATATGAGCTTACCTTCCCGCCTTGTGCCGATACATTATCCAGATTATTCCGTGCCCGAGTCAGAGATGGAGGATTTGAAAGCGTCCACCACCAAGCTAGCTGGTACGCTGGATGGTGTGAAGAAGGATCTGGAGCAGCTCAGTGAGAGGTCTGTGAAGTGCAAGGAAGATGTGGAAGATATGACAATGAAACTCAAAACAATGAAACTTAGGCGGCAGAAACTGGTATGTATATGTGTCTGTGGGCGGAGGCACTTTTCACACTTGAGATATCCGAGTCGGTGCATCTGGCAGGTTAGAAATGCGCACGAATGATGCTATCGTCCTATACCGACCTAAGTTTTCATATTATCCCTTCTGCATTCAGGAATCATCTACATATATTACTGCAAACCGTGATCGAGGCCTGGACCCAGACATGGTGAGAGAGAGGGAGATCATACTATCTCGGTTTCAAGATCAACAACTTCTCCTGAGGGATTTGGAGTCCAAGCTGTATTCTCTTGAGAACGGCGGCCAGTACAATAAGTTCCCAAAAAGGTCGCGAAGACGCCAAGCCCCGGCAAAGGACTGCCTATACCAGACCATCCAGTCGCAACACGACACTATCGCACGGAAAGAGATGCAGCTCAACAACATCGAAGTACAGATGCACAAACTTATCTCCGCCACGAAAGTGATGTCACTGAGAGACCCGAGCGCCGACCAGGCGTCGGCGCGAGTGGCTGCGGATCTTACTGAATCCGATCTTGCTCTGAGCGGCTGTAAGATTCCCAGTAACAGTAGAGCAAAGGAAACTGCCCATCGCTTGCAGAAGCTAGGGTCACTGCTGGCAGAACGGGAGAAGAATATAGTTATCAGCAAGACATCCTCGTACAAATCACCACCGCCACCGAAGAATGTGTCGGATTCCAGGCCGCCTAGCGGCGGAGGGGTGGAGCAAAGGCCGTCTATCGACAGCAAGACTAGGCATGTGCCGGGCTCTCTTCCACTCCCGTCCCCTCAGATGCACGCCACCAACAACCGCCAAGGAAGTCCTCCTCAAGGCACACCAGCAGGCGGCTATAATACGAATGCAACACATATACCTGTTCGAAAACCCGCCCCACCCACCGGCCCATCATTCTTCTCTGAGAAGAGTTTCACAAACACTACTGCCAGCTCATCGGCACCTGCACCACTTCAGAAGTGCGGTACCGGTTTGGCTGGTAATCAGCGGATGACAGCGCAATCTGCCTTCCCGTCCTTGGCTAGACCGCCCGCCAAACCACTGTCCACTGGATTCAGTATGCAGGCTGGTATGCAACCACCAGCGGCTAAGGGAGAGTCTTTCTTCAAAACTTCTATGGCACCGGGTGCAACCGACGGTTCTGGTGTGCCATCGAAGCCTACTTCTTTCACTGCGCCTACCACTGCACCTGACACCACAGAGCTACAGGAAAGCCCCAAGAAAAAGTTTTCCGCAGGTAAGAAGTGTTCAGATACCGAGCGCTTTCAACAATATGTCGAATACACGCTACACTCGATACTCGGGAGACTGAGGAGCGCAGGTCTTCTGCTCGTGAAAATTCTGTATTTGATTAATCTCCATTATTGATCTCATTTTGGAATCTTGTTAGTGTAGTATTATAATTTACCAGTTATTTGAACTGTTGATGATCAGAATGAATGTTTATTTTGATACCCAATTTCAAATCATCGCGCAAGCAATACTGTCTACTAATTGTACACCTATGATGCGGTAGGAAGTATCAAAGCAAATGCCGATGAGGATGTTCCGACGTTAGACTTCGACGACAACTTGCCAAATATATCAACGAAAAAGAGTGGTCTGCCGAACATCCCGCGATCGACTGTGACAACAGGTACGAAAGTATGCTTATTAATGGCAGCTTTGTCGTGTCTCTAGGATGCGTTACATCTCAGATTTGTAGTATGATAAACGCCAGACAGATTCGCACTCAGGATGGTCAGGTGTTGTCCTCTGAAGTCCTCAAAATGTATCTGGTTTTCTGACTTCTGGATGTTTCAGAAGTCGGTGTTGACATTTTGTTACTTAATTGTCGCTCACGAGATTCATGACAACTTACTTTCATTTTAACTTCATATTCTAAATCCTCAATGCTCACTGGTCCATATTCCTACAGGTTTCAGCATCTCACATCCCCCCAAGAAAGATGCCTTTGGTTCCTTAGGTGGAGATAAATCAACATCTGGGGCACTGAATGCAAGTAAATTTATTGCCGCACCATCAGACGATTCAGCGTTCGGCTCATTCACAGTGCCCGCGAAAGCTGAACAAACCAGTGACACTGGGGTGGCGGCAGGGTCAGCATCAACCGCCAGTGGTTCAGGTAACCCAACGTTTGGAAAGCCCACTACGGACGCTTCTAAGGTGGCTGGTGGAGGGTTTGGTAAAACCTCGACCGGTGCTCCTAAGGCAGTTGGTGGGGCTTTCGGAAAAGCACCAACAGACGGCACATCTGGCTCAGCCTTCGGGAGTATTGGTCTTAGTGCTGCTGCAGCCGATGACGCGGGTAAGGTTGGTAAACCATCCGACACCCCCCTCACTGAGCCATCACCACCGGCTGCAACATCAGGGTTTGGGGCGTCGAAGGGTACCAATGCTTTCGGGGTAAGCAACGCGACTGCTTTCGGCACGTCTACGGGAGCGAGTCCCTTTGCAAAGGGCGCACCGGCGGCAGGCATGTCGGCTGCCGGTGGGTTTGATACAACGAAACCGGCCGTCTCGGCCACACCGAGTGTATTTGGCGCACCCGCAACCGGTGCTACCGGGGGAGCGTTCGGGACGTCGGGATTGGCAGGGGCGTTGGGGGGTCTTGATGATACAAAAACAGCCGAAACAAACACAAATAGCTCGAGCGGATTTGGCTTTGGCAAATCGGCCACCCCCAGCACAGGCTTTGGCTCGTCCGCTTTCGGTGCTTCTACTACTAATACCGGCGCCTTTGGAAGCGGTTCCACCTCATCAGGCTTCGGCACTTCCTCGGCCAGCGGGTCCGCTGCCAATGGCACAACTACCCCAACGGGTGCATTCGGTAGTGCTCAAAGTGGCGCGGGTGGTGCATTTGGGGCCTCGAGCGGCGCCAGTGCTTTTGCACAAGCCGCCAAACCCACTGCCCCCACTACCGGCGGAGCGTTTGGACAAACTACACAACCCTCCAGTGGCGGTGGGAGAGGGTTTGGCAGCAGTGCGTTCGGCGCAGGCTCAGCATTCGGTGCTTCAACCGGCGCATTCGGCAGTGCGGGTTCTGGTACCACGGCGTCGGCATTTGGCAGCGGCGCTCCAGCAGTATCCGGGGGAGCGTTCGGCTTTTCCGCAACGACTGGTGCTGGCGGCTTTGGCAGTGGCACTGGCAGTGGCACTGGTGCGAGCGCATTCGGTACCACAAGCGGCGGGGGAGCCTTCGGTGCGACTGGTGGTGGTAGCAGTGCCTTTGTATCGTCCGGGGGCACCAGCGCTTTCGGAACCTCTGGCGGCGCCAACGCATTTGGCACTGGCGGAGGCAGTGGCGCGTTTGGCAGCGGCGGCGGCACAAGTGCCTTCGGTGCTGGTGCATTCGGCACAAGTTCTGCGGGTGCTGGGGCGGGCGCTGGTGGTGGTGGCGGTGGGTTTGGCAGTGCGAGTGCCTTCGGAAGTACACCACAAAAGCCAGCGGGTGGTGGTGGAGGCTTCGGCGGCTTTGGCGCGGCTGCTGCGGGGGGTAGTGGCGGAGGTTTCGGAGCTCTCGCAACTAATTCCAGTGGTAAGTACCGAGCCGTGCAGTTGGCGTCTCCAAGTTCGAATTCTGCGTGATTTAGCCCAGTGGGTGTCTGTTGATACGAGAGTGTGTGTGGGAGTCAGTTAGTCAACGATACTCAACTCTTCAGTATATTTTTGCCAACCCCGATGTTACGGTGCTCAGAACTAATGCTTACCCTTCCCAATGAAATAGGTGGATTCGGTGGCACCGGGAGCACACCAGCGAGTGTCACGCCTCAGAAGTATGTAACGTTCTCCGGAAATGTGCTATGCGAATACAGCAATTTAATCCGTTCTTTATATTCGATTACTTGTGTTCAATTTTGAGCCTTGAGGTGACTTTTCATTTCATTGATACATTTCATGCACAATCCACATCACAGGTTCGGTGGCAACAACTTCACTCAGGCTAGGATGTAGTGCACTGCTGCACGCACTGCCTCTTTCTGGCAAACTACAAATCTAAAATGGGGTACTACGCATGCCGAGAGCATGGTAAAGGGGCTGGTTGGTGACACGCAAGACTCTGTCAGCAAAGCATTTTTACAGGTCCTCAATGATCTCTTGAACTCTCCGTTCTCCACCATCGTATTTGCCGGCACATCCGGTATACATTTCTATTGCAAACCGGCCAGACAGCTTTTTAGTCCGTATGCTACGGCTGAGTCAGTAATCTGGAAATAGAGAGGTTTATACATACTGATGATACCATCGTGTAATAAAAACTCGATGACAAATTCCGCCAGTGTCGTTGCGTCAAGCACAGCAGGATGCATTTCTAGTGCCCAAGTGGCCCACGCCACCTCAGTTCCTACATGAGCCTATTCCACTGAAGTACGCAAATAGTCCACAGGCGGGAGTAGATAGACAGCACAATGTGCAACAATCATTAATAGACAGTCAACACATTAAGAAAAACTGAACACCCAATCCGAGGCTGGGTACCTGGCAATAGGCCAAGCCTGAGGTTGCTTCTATATATTTTTATTTTCTGACCCTACTATGTATATGTATAAATATGTCATAACGACATTTCGGCTCAGATTGATTTTGCGCACTATGACTTCGATGTTATATATGCACTTGTTAGTGCATTGGTTTCGACCATCGATGCGCAATCTGTTCTTGAGTGATTATGTACAACAGATTATGCAGGTCAGCCATCGTCATATCTCGGGTTCCTAATTTAATAGGCTTACTAATTTGTCTGCATACAGATTATTTTTGTTGTTGTTTCTCCTATCAAGGAGATGGGGAATATAGATCGGAATGAAGATGGGATAGGCACTTTCTTCGACAGCTGATCTGTCTAATTATTCCCAATTACGTTGGCCAGCATGAACGGCTTGTCGACCGTGGGGCTCAAAAACCACATAGTAATTGTGCTGGCTTCTTCAATACAAATGCATTTGGGAGGCCGGACTCGCTTCCTGCATTGCAGCACTCTCGTGGCTGAAACACTTCACACGAAGACATCGAATGCGTGTGACAGCGACGTTTCATAAAAGGCATATACCTGGTGTGGCATGCACACTGTGGTGCTTTGTTAAAGATCGGCACCAAAATCGAGGTAGACACCCAGGGAAATCTCTGCAATACACATCTTCACTCCGCTTTTCTATGTAGTCCTGGCTGATCGCAGTCCGGCTCAGCCATTCTAATATGGCGGTTTAAATAATAACTATTGGAGATTAACCGGTGTACAGTGAGAGTACAGAATGACTGCTACATTGGCATTGGCCATGACTGTCAATATAGGTGTGTCGTCGTTAGCGCATGTGCGAGAATATTTGAGGAAGCGGCCAAGACGTACGATCGACAGCTGCGATTCTACCTGGCAGCACCAGCATCCTCCCCAGCTCGTGCATACCGCTACCAATATGAGTGTATCTTCTGCACAGTATCGGTACTGCTACTGTGTAAGCCCGCTTACCTTTCGAGACCTCGTATGGGGAATCATCACCTTAGCAGCAGCGAAGAATTTACAATAGTCGTTCACCACTCAGGTGACATGCATTTACGGGTTTTCCTCCATAATTGTATCCCCATCATCTTCCGGTCCGTTCTCCTTGATTATTTCCAAGGTATCTTGACTCTCGGGAACCTCTCCGGATGATCTTCGGTCCACGGACATGTTGCTCACGCTTTCACGTGTTAGTACTTGTGTGGTGTCCGCCGTTTCCTGATTGCTCGTGGTTGGTGGCTGTGGTTGTGGCGGCAGTGCACTGCTGTTGTATAGGAGATCTTCCGTCATCTCTTCTCGCTCCGCGATAGGAAACAGATTCTCTCCAATCTGGCTGCCGTCTAACGCCATGCGCATGCCGGGATCAATAGCGGGATTCTCATTCGATTTCGATGGCACCACCTTGCCCACTTCCGTCTCTCCGCTGTTTTCTTTCTGCACAGACACTTGCCCACCCACTTGCTGTCCCCCGCTTTCCTTTTCCCGTGCTTGCGCTTGCGCTTGCGCTTGCGCTTGAGCTTGAGCCTGAGCCTGAGCCTGAGCCTGAGCCTGAGCCTGAGCCTGAGCCTGGGCCTGAGCCTGAGCCTGAGCCTGGGCCTGAGCCTGGGCCTGAGCCCTGAAACTCTCACCAAATGATGCCGGCCCGGTCGACAGCCTGGTGCCCGCGGTTTCATCGTCTGGTAAACTCGAGCTCTGTATACTCATGCGCATCATGGGGCTTGCACTATTGTTGAAGCTATCGTTCTTAGCCATAGTGGTCTGCAAGTCTGTATTATCCACAGCACCCCCCACACCCGTGACTGTTAGGCTATTGCCCTGTTCCATGCCTGTCTTTGTGCTGCTGCTGCCCTCGTGTGCCTGTCCCTGGGCCTGAGAACCTCCGCCACTTGTGGGGGTGGGTATGGGTGCGCTAGTCGCGTTACTATCCGATGTAGTGGTCTTCGCGTGTATGACCCCGGATAAGGCAGCCTGCGCTTGTGCGTGGTGAGTATCCCCCGTCCGCACACCGCGAGAGCGCGCGGGTTTCACCAGCGCCCACAGCTTTGGTGGGCGACCACATTTGCGGTGGTCTTTCGAATTGAAATAGCTGAAGCAAACCTGTGTGAGTGTGTGCCAATTTGCGGAAGTTATAGTGATTTGTGATTTCATAGGTGCTCAGAGCATGATGATGGGCATATACGCGGTATATATTCCAATTATAAAGCTACTGCGGCCCTGTTGTGAAGAAATAAATAATAGATTGCGCGTCTAAACCCTAAAATATAAATTGAATGCACAGAATGAGTACAAGCGTGAGAATTATTGCACTTGTGTGTGCTGACCCCGGGGCATACGTGCGAAAGTCACAACTCGAGATAATCAAGATCGGTAGAGCAAAATTAGCTGCATGCAAACTCGAAGGCAACAAGACAGACTACAGATAGTAATTGAAGTGTAATATATACGACTTCAAGTTCGAACATCAATCTCCACATCACATACCTGGCAAGCAAAACACGGCGGATGCGTGTGATGAGACCGGATGTGCGACACCAAACTGTCCTTCTTCCCCCCACTGTAACCCTTGCAGCCTTCAACGCGTTGCGGGCAATCGAACGGAGACGCATTGCCGTGCGCATCCTAAAAATGAGATATAGAGTGATAGCATGAGTCCTTGAACAGACCATTTAGTGGCGTGCAAACATACGCGCAAACACATGACGTGCAAGAAATTAAGCCCACGATCAGAGACAGCGAGACAGCTTACCTGTTGCCTGGGCCCGTGGCAACCCGGCCAATTGCACTCCCACTTTGAGGTTTCCTTATTAAATGCTTTCTTGTGACCGCTGATACCCGTGCGGCCCACGTGAGTGTCAATGTAATGTGCGTGGAAAAGCAAAGGATCTGAGAACACCAATGAATCCACCGGGCACACCACCACGGCATCGTACCGTGGTGGCGGCAGCCACACAGTCACCGGATCCCCAGTTTCAGTGTCCCAGACCTGCCAAATCAAAAGTATTGTTAAGTACATGGGGGAGTCAGCCAGAGATGCACGCGCGAGCAGATGCCCTCTGTGTGCCGATACACCCCGGCTTTCTCTCATTTCTTAAGGTCGAGGAAAGGGAAAGTATGTTTGGCCATACACGCAGACAAATAAAAGGTGAAGAGTCGTGCAGGGTGCCACCCCTCCAGCGCATAATAAACTTATATACACACCTGACGTTTAACAGTCTCATCACCAGGCTCGCCCCTGGTTCGCTTCAGCGATGCAGATGGCATGACACTTACACGTTGTGTTCTTGCAGCGGGGTCGTAACCTGGCGTGTACAGAAGATTGGAGAAAGAGGGTTAAAAAGGGTTGGGCCGATACGGAAAATCCCAACATAGGTTGCAAAGACATGTACGTTTGTCAAGCATACAGAACAGAAACAGTTTAAAGACAGTGTACCGGAAAATAAGCGCTACGATACATAATACCCGCGCACAATTCTCTCACCACGATTAAAACACACAGCTCAAGCATCGCTTGAGTTTCGTGAGAGCAGATCTGTGGTATCTGCAACCAAGCGCATGCTCACAACACATACTCGCTGCTGGCAGTCCAGCCCCCACTCCCCTATGACTGGGGTCGTCATTGCTCCTATAGCTAATTGCCTGCGTGAGTAATCGCAATCCCTCCCCGGTAGGTTTATCTGCAGACGAGGCAAACTCTCCCGGTGTACCCTGGACCTGTCCCAAGCCTTGACTTTCGGGCCAATTCGCACCACCCCAGTTGGGGTAGGATCCCCCCATACCGGGTTTGCTCACGCTCATGCGCTTGTTGCTCGCATCTCGGCCCACCTGCAGGCCCCGTGACCTAAAGGCTTCCCCACGTCTCCTCTCAGAATCCAACCCATCGGTCATGAATTCCCGTTTATTACTTGTCCTGCGCTCGACCTGGCGGGGCTGCACATGTGTAAAGCCGGGTCCTCGTTCGCCGCTACCGTAGCGCTCTGAGCCATCTTCACCCCAACTGCGGCCCGTATCACCAGTGGGGACAGACGAAGACCCTCCCGCGGCGGGGGAGCGTGCATACCTCTCATGCATATTCAAGGCACTGATATCATAATCATGTACGCCTAGCGAAAGACGTTTACCGGGCGAATACGAAGCTGATGTCGATCCCGTAATTCCTGTGTGAGGGACACCGGTACGGAAAAGACCGAGTGAGCATAAATGGAGTTTGGCATGGGGGAACTACGAAGGCGCCTATTTGTGGCTGATCGAAACTAAACACACATACGGACTAAGTTCAATTGTCGAAAGCGAAAAGTTCAACTCTTGCAAGTACCAGACTCTACGCTCAAAAACCTTGTATCGTGCAATGAAGGTGGATGTCAAAAACCCATACCTAGACTAGCAGCCTCTGAAGCTCTGCTTAGATTACCGGCTGATGGATCCCTTCGCATCATCTGTTCACGCTCGCGGAGTTCGCGCAATTCGTGTGCGTTGAACACCTTCTCCTGAGGAAGATCTTGAAGAGACGTGGACGTGGTGGTGATGCTCTCAGTCGCAATGGTACCCTGAAAGCAGAGAGAAGGAACAGGATGTTCAGCATTAACCTACAATAAAATGCAATCTATGTGAATATTCACGTTTCAAAGTAAAAGGAGCAGTGTCGCACACAATGGTAGCTGATATATCAAACATACTACACATCAACTGATCCATGAACACATAGATGACCATGGTTATCGTCTCGTAGCAGTGTCAATCACATCTGCGATACTCTGCCCCAGAGCCCCACTACAAGACGACATACGCCAAAAAAAAAGAAGAAAAAAGGATTACCTTACACGCATCAACATAGTATAGCCGACAGGCGTACATTCCAAACACCACCTCTGAACCTTACCGGTGCCGGAAAGCTTTTCGGGGGAGCACCCAGCGCAAGATCAACCCCCGCAATGGCGCGCAATCTCTGTTGTTCTCGCATTTCGTAGTCCGGATACTGCGTCTTGGCACCCTCCTTCGACGGGCCGCCAATCCTGTCCCCTCCCAGCGCCCCAGCACTTCCCCGCGAATTGAAGTAGAAGCGCTCTCGTTCCCGTTCCCGTTCGCGATCTCGCTCCCGCTCCCGTTCACGCTCCCGTTCACGTTCACGCTCACGCTCACGCTCACGTTCCCAGGCTGATGCGGGTATAAGCACATCCATGGGCATCAGCGCGCGATCCCTCTCTCGCTCGCGCTCTCTGTCAGCCCACTCGCGATCACGCATCGCCTCCCACGCGGCCACCTCGTCTTTGCGCGACCCTCGCTGGCGAATGCGGTCTCGTTCTCGGTCCCGTTCGCGGTCTCTTTCCCGTTCACGCTCACGCTCCCTCTCCCGGTCGCTAGACGCAAGGCGTTCGCGCTCGGTGAGGCTCAACCCCAACCGTTCCCGTTCACTCAGGCTCACGCGGTCTCGCAGGCTTTCGCGCTCGCGCTCTCTGTCGCGTTCAGTGAGTCGCACACGTTCCAGATCCTCCTCGTTTCGCCGCCTGACCCTCGCACGCTCTCTCTCGCGCTCCGTCATGCGCATCTCAATGTCGCGCGCGCCGCCTTCTGTGCCAGCGCGCTGGAAGGCGGTGGAGTACCGCGACTCGCCTTCTCTAAACATGCTTGCGGGATCGTCGTAGCTCTGCGAGTGGATGTCCGTGTGTAGACCCTCCCTGCCTTGGTACAGCGCATCTCGCTCCCGTGGACGTTGCGGGGCATCACTTGGTCTGTGTGTTGTGGGCGGCAGATCCCGTTCTCGGCCGTCAAGAGCGCGTTCGCGTTCACGCTCCTTTTCGCGCCATGCCTTCTCCATCTCGAAGTTACTTTCATCTATTCTGTCGCCCCCACGCGTAGGTATACTCATAGGGGGTGTGGTGTATGCGGGTCTCCCACTTACAGCTGGAAGTGCGCGCAGATCATCTTCGTTTGGGTCGGACTTCCCTAATCCAGCTGCCATACCTAATCCTTTCAGTGGTACCTGGTTCTGATCTATCATGCTCATTTGTTGGCGCAGGTGGTCTTGCTTCTGACGTGCCTGTGATCCATTACGTATTGAGAAGTGAAAACTGAAGATTTAGTCCTTGATGGTGTCTACAGCTTGTGGAAACAAGTGCACGGTCACGCAATAAGCAGTACTTAACAGAGTCATATTCAATTCTTCAGGGCGAGGTTTCTGGTAACAGTCTTCGTAGTGTGGCAGGTAACTCAACACGCACTAACACGCCAAGAGACTATTGTATTCATTCGACTGTATAAACTCAGGAGACTTTCATTTGAACTACACAACCGCAATTTATCAGTTGATAACCTGAGAGAAAGAGCCATATTAAGTCTAACCCATTCGTGAAATTTCGTGAATTATAAACTGTCAATACTCGCAGATTCTCAGACGAGGCATCATAACAATCTGTCACCTAACTCACAACATACCAAAAGCTCGTCTTGTTCCAAGAGAATGTAGCGGTTCGCACTTTGTTCCCTCTCCCGCGGCGACAGTATGGCAAGCGGACCTTCTGTACTTCGGTTCCTACTCAGTGCCAGCTCTCTTTGTCTGATTTCTTCCGCATGCTCTGTAACAAACGGCAGTGGGGACCTACTATTGCCACTCCCTGGTTTTTGCATGGATGTAAGGCTTCTACTCTTCCGTTTATGCGAGAGCCCCTCCGAAATGATGGTAGATGTATTATACGCACGTGCGTCACGTGATATTTGGGCACTCTGCTCAATTCTGGCTTTTTGGTCCGTATCCGGACTTATCCTGCCGCGAGAATCGTCTTCGCTCTTGATTCTACCACTTGTTATTCTATCTAAACCCGCACTAAATTTCGGCGAATCGGCTGTGAATTTATGCGATCGTGCCGTGACGTTCGGATACTGTCCGCCGCTCGATGATGTTTTGTGCAGGTCTGATGTTCTATCTAAGCGCATATTAAACCATAACCCTGTACATGGGTTACGGTATTGGCTGTGATGCTATTGTTTGAGAAATGCCTAAGAGTATACGAGCGTCGGCTCAATAACTGAGCGAGTGGTGGCACAGACGTCCGATTTCCTTATGCACTCTTCACAGTACCCTGGGAATATACACACAAAGAATCAAACATGAGTATAACCGGTCTATGCTTCGAATGAATACACCAACACACAATGCATAATTTACTTGTAGATTCACAAAGTGGGGTGGGACGTTGTGATGTCTATTTTGACAACTCAAAAATACAGCTATTTAGCGCGATTCAAATACGAAACATACAATAGAAGGTTCAGACATTTTGTAATAACATACATTAGAAGGTTCAGACGTTATGTGATCAGGATCACCAAGCCAGCTCATTCATCCAAAAAACCTTTAAAAGAAGAAGCTCACACAAAAAAAAGGACTATCCAGTGATGGCGTGCGGCATACTTATGCGGTACATCGGAAATATCACGCCTAACTTCAGCAATATATACATATACATATATACATACATACATATATACATACACACACATAACATACACACACACATATATATATATATATATAGACATATACATATACATATACGCGTGTATGCACTTGCACGCACACACACACACACACACACACCTACATAAATATGTATAATATATATATATATATATGCATATGCATATGCATATTCATACACATATATATATTATATATATATATATACATACATACATACATGCATATACATACACAAACGTGTACACACAGACACAGACACAGACACAGACACAGACCCCTCACCCACAAACACCCACCCACCCACACACACACACACA